ACTATATTTCCTTTAACGTTATTTAATTAAACTAATTCTAAATATGAAATAAATGATGCGAAATAAGCGAACCTTTGGCTGTCATGGCTGTCACAAACACAATATTCTATCAACCGCTAGACTTGCTGCCACACGCAAAAGATAGAAACAGAAAAACATACACACACTCTACAACGATAAACCATAGATCAATTATCGTCAACGCCCGGGAGTACTGATAATTCAGCCATTTAGCCATCAGAGTTAAGCGATCTTAGATTTTATATACTTCTTGATCAATGGTACCGGTAACACTACCTAAAAACACTAAACAAAAAGAACAGTAGATTATTCTAAATACTGAAATTATGTATTTTCTCACCGTTCCTTTGAATCGTAAGTATTAGCATGCGTCGTTAAAGAATGACAGACATCCGAGAGAATTTCTGAGATACAAAGGAAGAATTGAGGATTATAGAGACTGAAGAATAACCTTCTAAAATATCTTTGCTGGTTGATGAGAGTATGGAATCTGTGGTTGTAGGAGAGATGAATCTATCGACAGAAATTACTGGATCAAATACCACCAAACGTGAGGACAGGCATGTTGTGCGCATGGCGGGGGTGGCTCGCTAAATGATATTAAGAAGCCTGATGTAAAGATTAGAATCTATTGCATATTATGTGCTATCATAACTTACCATTTGACATATCTGCAGGGGAGGAGAATCTTTCAAAGCACCCTTAATTGCTGTGATTACCAAGGACTGAACCTTACTACACACTGCTGGAATAGACTGCACCATGATATTAACCTAGCATTAAACATCATCATTCCATTTCGCCATCTGCTATGATTGAAGTGCTATCAGATTTTACCTCTGAACACCTGCTGATACACATCGCCGTCGCACTCAGTAACTACCATCTACACTGAAGCTTTTGAATTTGTGTTTCTCTCTTAGTTTCAAGCACTTCCATCGGCTACATTTTAACGGGCCCAACAAGTAGCCATATTACATGTAACATGCAAAAATTAAGTAGCCCTACTTTCTTAGCACGTCTGTTTTGATATGCTACGTATCGAAAACATCTAAGAGGACTGGTAGAACAGCAGACACCAACAGCGCCTACTTCATTAAAACTACTTCATTGCTACTTTTGAACACTGCCCACAAGCAGAAATAGCATAGGTTGACATATCTGATACACACCTGAAGACCCTTTGGCTTAATGCCAAGGTGAATTATCTCAACATTTATTGTCAGCAATGGCAAATATACACATAATGATCCCCTAATGTTCTGCAAAACAAGCGAGGTAGTAATTTTAATTAGTTCACCCTGGTACCTTATATTTTCCTTTAGTAAATGTGATTTCGATATTTCTTCTTTATTTTGGATAACCATAATAGTATAATATATGATTAAGTAGACCTTCGCTAATAAATTTTTGTTACTTAAAAGCAAACTCATATAGTAATATAAAACACCTATTAACCCCACATCATTTTATTACAAATGTTTTCTATGAACACTTGAACTTCTATTCATTTTGAGAAGAAAGAGTTCATATAAATATTTTTAATGAAATATCTGAATATTTCTTGCTCTGCTAAAACGGCATTTTGTATATCAGCTTTAGCATTCTAAACAAACTTTATTTAATACATGTTATAATGTGCTGAACAGTACATGTTTACGTACATTTTAGAACTTTAGTAAATGTTTTAGAACAAATTTTAGAACATTTTAGAACAAATTTTAATAACACTGCAGTCTCACAGCAAATCTTGCCAATCGATTCCTCGCGGCGAGAAAAGCAAGTACTGTGAGATGTTGCTTGCAAGGGGAAAAATCACTTTCTTTGAAATTCGACATTCAGTAAAATAATAAATGATCTCGGCTTGAAAAATACATGAGAAATTCGCTACGTCTTCCTGATTTGTAGTGTAGATTTTAACAAGGAAATAAATTTTTAAAAAAAACTAGAAATGCGCTTAACTTTTCCTATTTTTTGCGATGATTGATTTCCATCATAGTTTCTACAAGCCTTTCTATAAGAATATCCCACTTTCACACTATCTATATATTGCTTCACTGAAATGGCCGGATTCAAATTCATGAAGTCGTATGTGCTAAGGCCTCATCTTATACTTAAAAGCCTCCTATAAAATAACCCCATATTTAAAAATATCTTTGAATCTATGCATTCATTTTATACTAGATATCTATTGATTCAATAAGCTAGAACTACGTATATTTAAACTAAAATTTATTTAGAACTTTATCACGAGAAGACTTTCATTAAGTTGTTTCCATGTAGGTGGGTTTGTAAATATAGTGTTCCTTTTTTCTAAGAATATTTCTTCATTTATTCCTGATGAAGTTATTTGAACTCATAATTCGCTTTACAAGAACCAATACATCTAGATTTAAATCTACCGTTACAACGAAACTGAAGAAGCTTTGAATTAAATAAAACTGAATATTTGAAATTATTAACATATAAAAAGATATTATGTACTTACTTACTTGGTATTAACGTTCTGTTTTTATGTAAACTGTATTTCATTCAATAAACTAAACATATTAAACTGATTTAATAAAATGGGAAACCGTAAAATATAATAGAAGACAGAGGAAAATGATAGACATGATCATACATGTAGGTAGTATTTCAAGTGGATTGCCGTTATGTATGTATATTTTATTATTTTATAAATACGATTTTTATATTTTATAATTATTTCATTATTTTAAATTAATTTAGTATTTATTAAAAATAATCATTAACACATTATAAAGTATTTCTCCCGCCTTCTGAGCACGCCTTCGTGGTGTGGTGGTCTGCACGCTGGGCGCGTATTCCAGAGGTGCGTGGTTCGATTCCAGACGAGGACGTTGCTCATTTCTCATGACTCCTGTTTCCAAATAACCTAATGTCTCTATAACATAATTCAACTGAAATTAATTAGTAAATTCTTTACTAAATTAGTGAGTAATTTTAATTATTTTATTTATTTAAATTATTTGTAAAGAAATGTTTTTAAAATTTTGCAAGCTTTTATATTTTTGTGCTAAATTAAACGTTTGATCGTGAAAAATAATGTTGTTTCGATTCAGTTCGGAATTTGAAACTGAAGACGCTTGAATAATGCAAAGTTAATAACGCTTGAATGTATAAAATATCTACGTCATCTCGTTTGTCTTCGTCTTCAGTCTAGATTTTTTTAGACTGCAAAATGTCTTCGAAAATAACCTGAATTTTGTTTCTAAACCCGTAATTCCGCTTATTATAATTATTTTTCGAGGCTTTAATCAGCACAAATATAATATCCAAAACAATGGTACAGCCTTATGACGAAGCAATAAAAGAAATAGAGTCCTCTTTTATCTGCAAATGCTGTGGAAAGACATAGCTTTCTGATTGTGGTAGAATGATAAAGAGTTAATCTAATGGGAAAGGTGGCTGCAGACTATCTGCCACTTCCCGATACGTGATCCGTTAATGAGAAGGCGTAATGGCGAATGACCGATAATGATTGTGGAAGCTTTACACTTCATCGAAATTACGCTTTGTAACAGAGCTGATTAGAAATTTACATAACAAGCAAGAACTCAGACAAAATATATTATTTGCTGAGTTTTAGCATACTCATTATCTCCGAATTTTCACGTTAAGAAGACTTATTTTCTCAACATTTTCCTATATTCGCAATACCAAGCACATCATAATAATGTAGACAATGGGGTAAACATACTTCATGCTGTACATCTACTAGAATATTCGCACTTCATAGTTTCGGGAGAGGAGAAATGCTGATTTCTTAAACGTCAGTTTTATTCAACCATATTTTATGCTGGGCATATTGCAGCAAATAAATCAAGATATATCAATAATCGGGTTTAATAAAAGAAAGCGAATTATCATGGGAAAAATTCTTTTCCAGAAAGATTTTTTTTTTTCTATACTAAATTTTATCAAATTTCAAAGTTCATGAATTTTGATGAAAAAAAAAAAAAAAAAGGTTTCGAAGTTAAATTATCGTTATGGCATATATATAACTGTAAATTTCTCTTACACATTAATATACATGGTGTCCCATAAACCCGGATAACATTCAAAACATATAAATTCAACCGTCTGACGCATCAACATGTTATTTATATATATAACAAGGCCTTATACTCAGAGGGGGATGTTTTTTGATTAAGACACAATTTAGTTCAAACGTTCACCCGTAGAAAAAGTTATATTGCTATAAAAAAAGGGAAATTTAAATCCTAAAAAAATAATATGAAATTGAGACTTCAAAAGAGATTACTATAGTATCAGCAATGTGGCAATATACTCTCGAATATACCGAATATAGTAAATATTCAATAATTAATTTTTCTTTCATTCCTTTCTTATGTCGTGATACTAACGTCGCCACCTAGTGGTAACAATGTGCACTAAAATATATTCTCACTCCAAAAATAAAAGTATCCGCTTATGTCGATCTAATATCCTTTGTGGGTAAAGTGTACACACTCATAAACGTTTTTTAAAAATTTTATATAGCTCTTTTGAAAAGTGTCCAAATTTATGGAAAACTACTTAAGTTTTAAAACAGAGAATCCTGAAATATTTAGAACTAAGCTCCATTGTAAAAATTATAAAATAGTAATGTTCGTTTTATTTTAAATTTGCATTTGAATGTGATGAACATGAAGTCTTAAAAGACTCGCGAAAATATAACTTACCAATTTTCTGGTGTCACAGTAGCAAATGCACAAAGCTAATATAATGCGCGAACACTTTTTTAATATTTATTCTGATTATTTTACAAATTATGTTATTAATAATTTAATCTTTTTTTAATTACTTATTTCATTTACAAGAGAATTTATATATTTATCTACCTTATGAAATTTTGTTATTTACATAATTTTATTGTACAATCTTGTAAAATTGATTTTCTTCAAATTAGTAACTTTGATTTCTATAATACAATAAATTTTTCTGTGCTCACTTACTACTTCCAATACGTCTGCCATCTTTGCTAAAACTTCATCTTTCAAATTTTTCAATAGCGGAACACTGTAATAAAAGAAAATTGGAAGATTATTTCTGCAAAATAATGATTATAAAAAATTCAGTTAATATTTTCAGAAGTTTAGAATAAAATGACAAGAAAGTTTTGAACGATATTTATTTCTGTAGGTTAAAAAGCATCATAATATAAAGCAAGCAGCAATTTATATGTCCAGCTGTTTTGAACGCTCTTAATTTTAAATCAAAGGAAATTAAACATCAAAAATAAAAATTAATAATATCATTTCAAAACTCATTGGATATGCAAATTTGCTTTAATAAAAACATAAAATGGAATGATAATGCACATATATGTAAATGTACTGCTTTTGATTAATAACGCTTGAAATGGTATTTAACTTGTACTAAGTATCAAATTGCTCTTAAATGTACTTAAAAAACAGTCGATGAAAGAGGCTCTGAGCTTAAGAACAAATATTTCAGATTAAATATATATTTGTTCGCATTCAAAAATATTATAACTTCTCAACACAATAAAGCTCAATTTGCAATGTTATAAATTATTACGTAATAAAAAGTTCTCATTCGTATATGTTTCACACATAGTTTGCAATACTTTACTAATCGGAAATCTAAGCACAAATACAAATATAAATATACTTAATATTTCAGAGTAGCACTATACTGGTATCTATTTTATTAATAGGATACTTAGGTTAAAATAAAAGAACATGATTTTATTACAGCGAATAAATATTTTAAAATTTAGTAGACATGTTCTAGGAAATTTAACTTTTTTTCAGTAACCTGTTTGTATGTATTTTGGTTTTTATACATATGAAAACCAAAATACAAATTATGAAAATAAAAATAAAGCTGATGTGTACAACACATGACTTCCTTGTTCGGAATATTAAATTATACGCATTTTTCCTGCATTTCATTTAAACTTATTTCATTGAATTAAACCTATTTCGGCGCATAAACCATAATTAAATAAATGCACTCTTTAAATTTCACTATATTAATTTAAACTAGAAACACTCTGGCCCTAGTTTCACTGACATCTGATTAGCGTTACATCTGATTCACTTTAGAACTCAAAATGCACATAAAATTATATCATCTGAAGAATTTTCTAATCGTTATTACATGTTCTATTCAAATATTATAATAAATCTAAAACGATGTATAAAAAATTAACAAATAAAGAAGAAACATTTTTTCACAGACGATTGATTCAACGCCGCTTACATAATACGCATGCGCTACTCGTAAACATTCTTCTCTGTCCGAGACAGACTGGGATCAATATTTGCTGCTAATAGGAAATACTTATTTCCTCGAATTTCATTAGAGATATATTTCTCATTCAATTAATTCAATTCTTACTTCGCGGCAAGCCAAATATACATAAAAATACAAAACATATTCATTAAAAATTGAAAGATATTGAAAAACATAAAACACCAAATACAGTTAAAACAATGAAAAACATTTTACAAATAATTACAGTCTCTACGCAAAAACAAGCAATTCGGTCAGCAGTCAAAAAGACAGATTTTTCGGTGCACAACACTAAAAGTTTCCTTTTGGTCTGACTCGGCAAAAAGACACTGAAGGTGCAGAAAGAATTTATTCACTGTTTTACTAAGTTTCAAATGTAAACAAATATGGCTGCTATGGTAAAAACATTAGGCTTAGCCACACTTAAATAATTTTTAAATTGTTGATAATTCTACAAATTTGGCATGCAGATTAACTAAAGGCATAAAACCTTAACCGGAAGATAAGAAGAACAATCATTTTTAAGGCAATCACTTTTATTGCAATCATTATCATTATTATTATATTTCATTATTATTATTATTATTATTATTATCAGTATTATTACTTTTAAAGCAATCATTATCATCATTTAAATTCAATCATTTTTAAAGCAGAAAATGCACAATTTGCAAACATGTAAGAATTATAAAAACTGAGCTCACTGATCTGAGTAACAGAGTGGATATATTTATATACTTTCGGTGCGGTCGATTGTAACCAAAACGAGAGGTACACATCTGCATGTTATGGCAGTCCTGTATACAAAATTTCAACGTTCTGAGACTTTTGTTTTTGAGTTATGCCAGATACATACATACGTACGTACATACAGATGCCACGAAACAATCTTTTCTGAATTCATTTTTCTCATTCCTTTATTGTGTCATTACGTACAGATGTCACGCAAACCACATCGTTAAATTGCATTCGATAGCGGTCAAAATGGATATTTTGTTGAAATATGACACCCGAAATTTTTTCGCGATGACAATACTTTCTTTACTTCGCACAAGGAAGTAAAAAGACAAATATTTTGGAATGAAAATTTTGGGCAACAGCTTTTTATTTGAAATTGGAAAGAAATAGTGTCAACTTCTTTTAAATTTATTTTGGCTGTACTCTTATATGCGCCCTAAGATCACCAAATGTGGCAATATGTGTTCTGCGCTGGTTTTTGGCGCGATTGTGTGTTGTATAGCAACCCTTTTGACGTTGAGTACTCCTTTGCTGGATTGTTTTAATTGCTCATTGGTTCGTGTCGTGCGTGTTCTGAAATGGCCTATGTTGCAATGAGAGAAGTGGTTGCAAGAGGGTCTGGGAGATTATTTTTAGTGGCTATGCATGATAGAAGTAAAGAAACGCTGATGCAATGTATTAAAGAGTGGTTTGAGCCTTGTACAACTATTTTTTCGGATCGCTGGAAATCTTACAAGGATTTTGAAAAAGATTGTTTTGAACATTTATTTGTGAAACATAACAGTTTTGTGGATAGTGAGTCTGGCTGTCATATAAATACGATAGAGATTACGTGGCGGCATGTTAAAGCTACGTATATAAATAGTTTTCTACGTATATAAAAGTTTTTCTACTTTCCGAATATAAATAGGCATATTTATATTCGGAAATGCGTTTTTGAGTTTTATTTGGTGGTTTATATATATATTTTTTCATCGTTGTCTGAAATGGGAGAAGATGCTTTTAACAAATTTATGATGAAATTGCTTTGGTGATATTTGAAATTGATATTTCTTGTGTTCGAAAAAGCATTCATTCATGGTAAGTGCATTTTATTTTATCCTTGTTCTTATTTTATAGAATTCTATGTTCATTGTTTTCTTTAGTATGAATTTCTCTCGTTATTGTTTTTTTTTTTTTTTTTTTTTTTTTTTTTAATTGTTTGAAATTTATTTTAGTTATTTTAGTTTATTTTGTTGATTAGTGCGCAATGCCTAGATTGTGCAATTCTTAGATTTTTTTTTTAAATTTAACAGAACGCTGTGTACATAGTATTCTTGAAATTTATTGTTGTTATGCTAATTTATTAAAGCGAGGTGTATGTAGTTCGTTGATTCCTTCACTGCCTAGATTGTGCAATTCTGTGATGTTTTTCGAAGTTAAAACATATCACCGTGTACATGGATTCTTGTCAAATATTTTTGGTTAGAAACTTTACGTTTTTGCTATCTAAATGTTTTGTTTTTGTTTCGGATTTTTAGTTTAAATTGTGCGTTCAAAACGTGTTTTTGCATGTGCGAAAACAGCGTTATTGGAGACACTTTAGGCTTAAAGTTCGAAATGTAGACAAAAAATTTAGATAGTAATATTGCACCGTGGAGTTTCTCGCCAAAAATGTTTGGCGAGAAATTTGGCAACTTGAGGGCGCCTATAAGAGTAACTCCTTTATTTTTCATACGAAATGTCGCATGTAAACAAACTGTAGATTAAAGGATAGCATTTTCGCTTTCTGAAGAGAAACTTTCCTATTACATAATTCAAAAGGTTGTGAAATGCATATTATTAAAATTTTTATGTTGAAAAAAACATTATTATTCGGAAAAGGAAACACGGTCAGTATTAACTTCTACATGGAAGGAATACTCCAAACGAATTCCCGCAGCAAGCACATCGTGTTTATAATGTTCCTAAAGTTAGGTCGTTGATAAAGCAACCCAGACTGTATAGTGCTTAGGAGACCCTGACTGCGATATCGAAGGGCCCGGGTTCGAATCCCGGAAAAGGCATGCATATAAAATTGTCTGTCCTTTTTAAAGGAGGTAACGGTAGCTGCATATTAGGTGCCTCCACAATGCAATGGCCACCACTCCTGCCCTTATGGTGAAGTGCCCGCAAATCGCAAATTTAAAAATTTTCCAGTGTCTCGAAAATTTGCAAATATAAAGCTGATTTGTGTTATTTGCATTCTAAAATAAACAATTTGTAGAACTCTGAAGGAAAAATAATTTATAGGAGATAAATGGGAATGCATTGTGATCTTTGGTGAAGCATCGTTTTATCAAAATGATTGCAACAGAAAAGGTCTATTTAATTTTGAAAACAAAGACAAATAATGTAAAAACCTGTTTTTGTCAATGTAAAAACCTGTTTTTCTCAATGTAAAAAAGAAAATTTTTGTGAGGTGTTTATGATTGTCACAGGATTCTCTTAGAATTTGAATTAAAAATATGAAGAGTGGTAGAAAATGTTAAAATTAACTCAGGATGTTTTCAAGAGAACGTTTCACGTTCAATATTTGCCCAATAAGTTCCATTTCTTTATATTAATGAGTTCCAAAGAGTGAAACTTCATCAAGACAAAGCAACAAGTCACGTTTCGAAAAGTACTATTGCATACGTTGAAAAAATGGAGACTAAAACAGGTAGTGGATGTATACTTTTTTCAACGTATTTCTACAAAGTCCTTACAATCCTAGTTTCATCTATGGACTACTGTGTGTTTGGTCTCTCGAAAAGAGTGTTTTCTAAGCTAATTGGGAATCAAGACTCTTGGAAATTTTACGCAACACCCTTCCATCATGGAAAATTATGACGCAGACTTATAGGTCAATAAAACGGCTATCAGATCGAGCATTTAAAACAACACTCTTTAAATTTTAAAACAAAAAAAGGGTCTCGAAAATGGGTACGATTCCGTTATAGGGATCGTACGAAATTGCAGCGAAAATATATGCGCAAAAGTGGCAAATTTATAAATTTTAC